TCGTATCCTCCTCACAACTCAGAATCCCACCCTGTTTTGTGTTGTCAGCAAACTTAGAAATGTTGCATTTGGTTCCCTCCTCCAAGTCATTTATATACATCATGAATAGTAGGAGCAAGGAGCGCTGATCCCTGCAGTACCCCTTTCGTTGCTGCCTGCCACTCAGATAAAAGACCCGCTTATTCCAACTGTTTTCTGTCAATGAACTTTCAATTCATGCCAGTGTTACCCCTTAACCAATGTGCTTTAACTTTGCCCATTAACCTCTTATGAGGAACCTTATCAAACACCCAGCACATCAATGCAAGATTGATTGATTAATTGTATTTTGGTACATGTGACAATAAAATCAATGAAAAGCTTTGTTTCCGAGTAGTACAGGCAGATCACAGCAAGCAAAGGATGTACAGATCAAAAAAGACTTGCAGCCTTAAGGGTTACGTTGCTGGTTACATTATTTGAGGCTGGAGTCCACTCAACAGTCTGATAACAGCCAGAAAGAAGCTGTTCCTAAACATGCTCGTGCATGTGTTCAGGCTTCTTATTTCTTCTGCCTAATGGAAGAGGTTGTAGGAAATCATTACCAGGGTGCGATGGGTCTTTGATGATGTTGGCCGCCTTTCCGCGGCAGTTGGCCCTGGAAGTAGAGTCCAGGGATGGAAAGTTGGCCTCTGTGATGGTCTGGGCTACGCACACCACTTTCTGTAGTTTCTTACAGTCCAAGGCATACCAGGCCATTATGCACCCGGACAGTATGTTTTCAATAGTGCATCTGTAGAAGTTGGTGAGGGACCTCATGGACATGCGAAATTTCCTGAGCCTCCTGAGGAAGAACAGGCATTGTTCTGCCTTCTTGACTGTCACATTTATGTGTGAAATCCAGGATAGCTCATCAGTTATCACCATTCTGAGGAACTTGAAGCATCTGCAATAACCTTCAGCCAGAAGGGCTAAGCGAATGATCCATTTTGGCCTCCACCCGAGGTACCCAGCATCAGAGATGCCAGCTTTCAGCCAATTCAGTTCACTCCACATAACATCAAGAAACAGGTGGAAGCACTGAATACTGCAAAGGCTAGGGGCCCTGACAACATTCTGGCAATAGTACTGAAGACTTATGTTCCAAAATTAGTCACACCCCTGCCAGGTCAGTTACAAAACAAGCATCTACCCAACAATGTGGAAAACTGCCCAGGTATGTCCTGTACAGAAAAAAAGCAGGACAAATCAAATCCAATCAATTACCACACCATCAGGCTACCCTTAAACTGATGCAATGTCATCAAAAGTGCTAACACGCAGCACGTCTTCAGTACTTTTGATGGGTGAAGTTTAATTACAGCTTTAAAACAGGAGCTTATAGCTGAAGTTACTGTAAATTAGACTGGTTGAATCCAGTTTCCAAAGCCTTTGAATTAGGGGCCATAGAGGAGGCCTTGCCCAAAGGGGTAAGTCATGGCAGAAAAGCTCACAGCCATGTCTACTCCTCCTGCTCTTTGTAGGAAGCCAGGCACGTTTTCAATGCCCAGGACCAGCACATATGTAGGAAGCGTCTGCAACCAAAGCTCTGGGAAGCCAGGTTTTGGAGCTGGAGCAGCAGCTGGGGACATTGGAGATTCTATGAAACTTAAGAATATTGTGGATAGAATGTACAGAGGAGGCCAGGCTGAAGGCTAAAATTCCACAGGCAGAAAGGGAACAGACAACGACCAGGCAGAATAACAGGACTAGGCAGCAGGCAGTGGAGGAATCTCCTGTCGCCATTCCCCTGCAAAACATATATACAGCTTTGGGATGGTGTTGAAGGGAATGGCCTCTCAGGGGAAAGCAGTAGTAGCCAAATTCCTTGTACCACAGTTATCTCTGCTGCATGGGAGAGAAGGAAAAAGTGTCAGAATACAATAGTTATAGGGAATTCAATTGTAAGGGGGATAGAACATAGAACATAGAACATAGAACATTACAGCGCAGTACAGGCCCTTCGGCCCTCGATGTTGCGCCGACCTGTGAAACCTATCTGAAGCCCATCTAACCTAAACTATTCCATTATCATCCATATGTTTATCCAATGACCATTTAAATGCCCTTAAAGTGGGCGAGTCTACTATTTTTGCAGGCAGGGCATTCCACGCCCTTACTACTCTCTGAGTAAAGAACCTACCTCTGACATCTGTCCTACATCTATCACCCCTCAATTTAAAGCTATGTCCCCTCGTGCTAGCCATCACCATTCGAGGAAAAAGGCTCCCACTGTCCACCCTATCTAATCCTCTGATCATCTTGTATGTCTCTATCAAGTCACCTCTTAACCTTCTTCTCTCTAACGAAAACAGCCTCAAAACCCTCAGCCTTTCCTCATAAGACCTTCCCTCCATACCAGGCAACATCCTGGTAAATCTCCTCTGCACCCTTTCCAATGCTTCCACATCCTTCCTATAATGCGGTGACCAGAACTGTACGCAATACTCCAAGTGCGGCCGCACCAGAGTTTTGTACAGCTGCAACATGACCTCATGGCTCCGAAACTCAATCCCTCTACCAATAAAACCTAACATACTGTACGCCTTCTTAACAACGCTATCAACCTGGGTGGCAACTTTCAGTGATCTATGCACATGGACACCGAGATCTTTCTGCTCATCCACACTACCAAGAATCTTACCATTAGCCCAGTACTCTGTATTCCTGTTACTCCTTCCAAAGTGAATCACCTCACACTTTTCCGCATTAAACTCCATTTGCCACCTCTCAGCCCAGCTCTGCAGCTTATCTATGTCCCTCTGTAACCTACAACATCCTTCTGCACTATCCACAACTCCATCGACTTTGGTGTCATCCGCAAATTTACTAACCCATCCTTCTAAGCCCTCATCCAGGTCATTTATAAAAATGACAAACAGCAGTGGCCCCAAAACAGATCCTTGAGGTACACCACTAGTAACTGAACTCCAGGATGAACATTTCCCATCAACCACCACCCTCTGTCTTCTTACAGCTAGCCAATTTCTGATCCAAACCACTAAATCACCCTCAATCCCATGCCTCCGTATTTTCTGCAATAGCCTACCATGGGGAACCTTATCAAACGCTTTACTGAAATCCAAATACACCACATCAACCGCTTTACCCTCATCCATCTGTTTGGTCACCTTCTCGAAGAACTCAATAAGGTTTGTGAGGCACGACCTACCCTTCACAAAACCGTGTTGACTATCCCTAATCAAATTATTCCTTTCTAGATGATTATAAATCCTATCTCTTATAATCCTTTCCAACACTTTACCCACAACCGAAGTAAGGCTCACTGGTCTATAATTACCAGGGTTGTCTCTACTCCCCTTCTTGAACAAGGGGACAACATTTGCTAGTCTCCAGTCTTCTGGCACTATTCCTGAAGACAATGACGACATAAAGATCAAAGCCAAAGGCTCTGCAATCTCCTCTCTAGCTTCCCAGAGAATCCTAGGATAAATCCCATCCGGCCCAGGGGACTTATCTATTTTCACACCTTCCAGAATTGCTAACACCTCCTCCTTATGAACCTCAATCCCGTCTAGTCTAATAGACTGTATCTCAGTATTCTCCTCGACTACATTGCATTCTCCTCGACTACATAGATAGGCATTTCTGTGGCTGTAAACAAGACACAAGAATGGTATATTGCCTCCCTGGTATGAGGGTCAAGGATGTCTCAGAGCAGCAACAGGACATTCCAGGAGGTTGGTTGGTTGGGGGGTGGGAGGGTGGGGAGGAAGAGAGCCTGTGACCATGGTATACATTGGTGCCAATGACATAGGTAAAAAAGGATGAGAATCTTTAAAGCACAATACTAGGGAGTTGGGAAATAAGTTGAAAAGTAAGACCTCAAAAAGGTAGTGACCTCGGGATACTGTCAGTGCTATGTGCTAGCCAGAATAGAAATAGCAGGATATATCAGATACATACATGGCTGGAAAGTCAATGCAAGGGGAAGAGTTTAAGATTTCTGGGTCATTGTGACCAGTTCTGGGGGAAGTGGGACCAGGACAAACTTAAGAGGTTACAACTGGGCCAGACTGGGGCTGTTGTCCTCGGGACAGTATTTACTAGAGTGACTGGGGAGGATTTTAAATGAGAATGACAAGGGGATGGGAATCTAAGCAGGGTGATAAGGGAAAGAGAAACAAGGACAGTATTAAAGAAAGAATAATAAAATGCAAAAACGGTCAACAGAGTAATCAAGGGCAAGAGACAAATAGAGCCACAGTACAAAGAAAAGTGTGGATGGTTAAAAATGGCAAAAAGGCAAGCCTAAAGGCTTTGCATCTTACTGCATGAAGCATATGCAATAAGGTAGACAAACTGACAGCATATATCGAAGTAAATGGATATGATCTCACAACCATTATGAGACATGGTTACAAGAAGATCAAAACTGGGAACTTAACATTCAGGGATATTTGACCTTCCAGAAGGCAAGAGGGAAAGTATAGGTGGGAAATAACATCAAGGGAAAGGCAGCATTGGCAGGAGCAGTGTACACATCCCCAAACGGTAGCTGTAGGAAAGGGTATAAATCACTAATGATAGGAGCATGTACAAAGAATAGAGCAATAAAAGTCACCAAAAATTAACGTTGTTTGAGTTAATAAAGTTGGAAAGGGTACTGGCGAAGGATTCCATGAAGGACTCTCCTTCTTAACTACTTCCCTTCACCTGGAGGCATGCTCACCCGCAGGTTAAACCAGTCATCTCTCTCTAATGAGAGAGCAGGTTTACGGTCTGGTAAGACTGTGGTAACTTTCCTTTTATTCAATGCCAAGTTTATATTGCCTCTAAAAGGAAAAATAGACATGCCATTTAAATAACATCTTTCACAATCTCTGAATGCTATAAAGTGCTTTAGAGATAATGCATCAGTTTTGAAGTGTAACCACTGTTGTGACTTCTGAAAACTGATTGGTATTGGTGGAGTCTTGCAGTGTGCAAATTGCAGATAAAGGACAAACAATCCTCACACTTTTGACACAGAATTTTATCTATAACTTTGTGAAAAAAATATTCAAAGATGCACATACAGCCTAATTTTATGCTGGAATAGAAGAGCTAGGCTAGAATTTAGAACAAAAAAATGTTAGCAACTCATATCACTATTAACGATGTGTCACTGGCATTGAACCAGTAGATTTCTGCTAATTGTGTCTTATGCTCAAACGGTAAGATATGGGAATACCGTCTGGGAGGGGAATAAAAATGGGAAAGTTGAGGTAATCTTTCTTCTTAAGAGGCAAAATAGCACAACTTTGATTGGCAGGGATACACTTCCAATAGCACAATGGAAGTACTACAGCCTTAAGATAAAACTGTGACAATTGGAAGCATTACAAATGTTTGAGGAATTTGAAAATTGCAACCTCCTCTTCAACTCTTGTGCAGAGTTTACTAGTTTTACATGCTTAGACCTTGGGTATCCTCAACTACAACTCACTCCTGTGCACTAAAACAAGAAAGATTAAGGTTTAAAAAGCATTTTTGTCTTCTTAGTTTTTAAGCAAACAGATAAATGAGTCCACTTCACCTCAAGCCCCTATGTTGCACCATAGACTGTAAAAGAAAATTGTCATTTGTATACAATTAAATCAACAAAGGCTTTAGATACAGCAAGTGTAGCTTATAACATTCATTCACAAGAGAATTGTGCCAAACTTCAGAATAATTTTACAAGCCTCCATGCTTGGTATGGAGAATTACCCCAGGCAGGGCAGATTGCAAAATTAATTTCCATAAGTTTTTTAAAATCTTTATCCTCAATGCACTACCAAGCAGACAGGCTCTGAAGCACAGCTGGAAATTATCCAAAAATAACGTAAAGGGTAATCTAAAACAAAGATGAGAATTTTGCAATCCATTTACAGCCTTAACTGTCACTACCTCTGTATTCTCCTCCAGCCACACAACCCACAGAGATATTGATGCTTCTCTAATTCTGAAGCGTTCCTCATTTTAATTGCTCAATTAGTTGTTGCTCTCCATTTCTCTTTCCTTCTTTAAGATACTCCTTAAAATCTATATCTGTGACAGGATTTTGGTCATCTGCCCTGATACCGCTTCACATGACTTGGTGTTACATTTTCATTTATAATACTCCTGTGAAGGACCTTGGCACTATTTTATTAAACTGGAAAAGTGTTAGATAAATCCAGTTTCTTGTGGGATAACATATTCGGTGATTCCATAGTTTTACTGCAATTCAGTGCAAGTCCATTCCTGCAGCAAGATACTAAAAGTACGTTGTCAATTGGATGTTAATTACCATCACCAACAGCCAAAGTGAAGTTGGGTAGTATTTGAAATTGAGTTTTACATATCACTGTAACATTACTCTCATTGTTTTTAAGAGCATAGTATTGAAGTGGAATGGTTATTTTCTATCCATTGCTTTCAAAGTTTATCAAATCACTGTTTGATAAGCTACAAATGACAGCCCATCTCTACTGTGAAGGTACTTGGGGTATTCTACCCAACAATCCATTCACTTAGTTATTTCAAAAGGACTCCCCTAACAGTTGCATTTATTTAGAAATAGGTTAAATCTGTTGAATAATTTAAACATCAAGAATGTATAAAAGAAATCTTCCACAGTATCACTTACCAAGCTTTTGAAAAACATTTAAAATATAATTCTATGCAGTGAAACTTGTTTCACAGATGTTTTCCGAGGAAATCTACATTCTTCGTCAAGACAGGCAACATTCTAATTCTCTTACAGTCAGCAGTGCTGTCAAGATTAATAATTCAATTTAAGAAAGGTGGATTACAATAATTTTGTAATCTATACTATCAAATGGACACCAGAGCCAAAATGAACAGGGTTTTAAATCAAGTGTCCGAGTATTAAGCATTTACAAACACCCAATTCACAATGGAGTCTGGCAGATGATATTATAGCATTACCAAAATTTCAGTACAAATCAAAAATAGAAAGTATTCTCGATGTGTTTCAGATTTCAAATAAATGCAGTTTATCCATTGGCCTAATGTATTTATAACTTATTTTCAATCTGATATTAGGGTTTTTTTGGTGCAGTTTGAAACTATCACTTCATTTTAGTTTCAAAAGGTTGCTTGCTTCACAATTTTTATGCTGTAACTTTTAATAGTCTTGACTCAAGTTTTCTATTTGACTCTGATTGAACAACACGATTATTGTAAGATGCAGATCTACAACTTGGGGAAAGAAAGTGAGCCAATGTCAAAGATCTCAATTTGCCTTTGGAAATAGCAATTTTAAAAATGATACATTTATAAACAGCATTTCTATAATAGAAAGCTTTTTTGTTACAAAATTACGCGCATTAATATCTTCTTGCAGCTCACATTAACATTTAACATTTTCTTAAATGACATTTTGTATATGTATGAACAGGATTTGCATCAAGAAGATTCACATTTAATCAGACCACTTTAATAGGTTACAAGATACATTATATATAAAAAGGTGTGTCCAAGAAAACTTCAAAGTGCAGAACAAAGGGAAACAAAAACTGAAGTATATAAATAATATTCCCATTTATAATGAAAAAGAGGTTGCAGTGCAACAACAAAATTTTGATTGATCAGTTTACTTTGCTAGCAGTTAGTCTTTGGTGGTGAGTTTGTGTGAAGGGTAATTTTGTATTGAAGAAATTATTTTGCATATGTATAAAAATATTTTGCTTAGTCTGTTTGCCAAGATAGAGTGCTCAGTCAGCTTCCTGGGAAGTACAAACATGAAAATAGGTTTTGTTTTAAAAATATGAAACCCACATTAAAAGATATAGTTTTAGGAATCTTGGTCACAACATGGTTCAAGGTTAAAAGCACATTTTCCTCAAGCTTCAAACTGATTACACAAACTACTGAGCAAAACAGGATACACTGCTTTATATGGAAAACAAGGGAAGTGTTGTTCCTTCAGGCAGCAATGCAACAACCAATGCAAACAGCTTCAGCAACTTCTTCCTGAAAGCCAGTGGTAAGAAAATGACAAAGGGTCGATATAAATTCAAATTCTTATTCTTCCTGTCACAAGGAGATTAGGGAATCTTCAAAGTAGCTGGATAAAGAAACACTACACTGCCACATCAATGATTATGCCCTCACGTTGATTAGTTTTCAGATTCTATTCATACACTGCATGGTGTTTCTTGCTGCCGTTATGTAAGATCCATTGATTTAGTTCAGGTTTCTTTCTTTGGGCTTTGCTGTCCACTTATTTCAGGCTGGTGAAAACAAGAGAATTTCAGACATGGGAAGTGCAATGACTAAATATTAATACCTTATCACATTAAGTTAAAATCTATGAGACATATAAGTGGATGAGAAGCTTGACAGATTTTGATTCCCTGGTAGCTAGTTACAATTTGGGGTATTAAACTAGACATTTTGCTATGTTTTCAGCATGAGATACCATTTGTTAGTATTTAACCCTATAATTCAGTACATGTCTTTACTTAGATAACTAAGAAAACTCATATTCTATAATCTAGCTTATTGGAAATATCACATGCACTGTACTAGTTCCTTCAACATCGAAAAAGCTGAAGGAAATAAGCAGCAGGCTATTGTTAAGGAATAAACTAGTTTAAACAGTAAGAAACAAGTGACTATTAACTTTAACAAATAAGTCTACAGCAAATACAGATTTTCTTAATTTTCTAGGTATATTAAAAACAAAGAAAAAGGAGTTTTGCACTGGCTTATTAACATAAGCCCAAGAGAAGCTGGAGAAACCCAACAAGTCTGGCAGCATCTGTGGAGACATTATCAGTACACAGTTGTTCCGAGGTTTGTAGTAAGACAGTATTGCAGGCATGACAAAACTGTTTCTGACAATTATTATTTTGAAGTGAAACCTTGCACAAGAAAAATATCTGTATTTAAACTGACAATTTAACATAATGAAACACCTAAAGATGCTTCACAAGAGCATTATAATGCAAAATTTTACACTGAGCCACATATGGCAATTTTAGGGAAAACCTTGACCAAAGAGATAGGTTTTAAAGAATGAAGGACAAATGATTAACAGAAAGGCAGAAAGTTTGTGGAGGGAATTCCTCAAAGATTAGATCTCATACACCCCGAGCCCCAAACCTTGCCAGGTCTTCACCATCCCCCAGGCCTCCCCCTCACTGAGGATGAATGATCAGTCCTCAGTAAAGGAGTCACCTTCATTCCCCTCCACCCACACATCAATGAATACCGTTCACTCTTGGACATCGAACAGTTTTTCCGCCACCTCCGCTCCTATTTCTTTAATCACAAGTCTAACCCACCCTCTATAGACACCTTCTCCCGCTTCCAACACACCCGCTCCTCCTGGACACCACCCCAAGGCCTCCTATCCTCCCTTGACCTCTTCATTTCCAACTCCTGTCACAACATTGATCGCCTCAACCTCTCCACTCCAACCTCTCCCCCATGGAATGTGCAGCCCTCCGCTCACTCTGCTCCAACCCTAACCTCACCATCAAACCCACGGGTAAGGGAGGCAAGGTTGTGCTATGGCGCACTGACCTTTACATCGCCGAGGCCAGGCGCCAACTCTCTGACACCCTTCTCCTACCACCCCTTCGATCATGACCCCATCCCTGACCACCAAAACATCATATCCCAGACCATCCATAACCTCATCACCTCAAGTGACCTCCCACCCACAGCCTCCAACCTCATCGTTACCCAACCCCGCACCGCCCATTTCTATCTCCTTCCCAAAATCCACAAACCCGACTGCCCTAGCCGACCCATTGTCTCTGCCTGCTCCTGCCCCACTGAACTTATCTCCGCTTACCTTAACTCTATTTTCTCGCCCCGGTCCAGGAACTTCCCTCCTACATCCAGGACACCACCCACGCCCTCCACCTCCTCCAAGACTTCCAAATCCCTGGCCCCCAACACCTCATCTTCACTATGGACATCCAATCCCTGTACACTTGTATTCCTCACGCAGATGGCCTAAAAGCCCACCACTTCTTCCTCTCCCGCAGGCCCAACCAGTCACCCTCGACCAACACCCTCATCCGCTTAACCGAACTCGTCCTTACCCTTAACAACTTCTCCTTCAACTCCTCTCACTTCCTACAGACTAAGAGGGTGACTATGGGAACCCATATGAGCCCAAGTTATGCCTGCCTTTTCGTAGGATAGGTGGAACAGTCCCTCTTCCGCAGCTACACTGGCCCCATCCCCCACCTCTTCCTCAGCTACATCGATGACTGTATCGGCGCTGCCTTGTGCTCCCACGAGGAGCTTGAACAGTTCATCAACTTTACTAACACCTTTCACCCCAACCTCAAGTTCACCTGGACCATCTCTGATATCTTTCTCTCCTTCCAGGACCATCTCTGGTGACCACCTTGAAACGGATATCTATTTCAAGCTTATCCACTTCAACAGCTACCTAGACTACATCTCCTGTCACCCACCTACCAGCAAGAATGCGCCGCCACCTACAATCTGAATCCACAACCAAGGATATGTTTCCCTCCCCACCCTTGTCTGCCTTCTGTAGGGACCGCTCTCTCCGTAACTCCCTCCACACTCCCCACTAGCCCCACCAACCCTGGCACCTTTCCCTGCAACCGCAGGAAGTGCTAAACCTGCCCCTACACCTCCCCTCTCACCTCCATCCAAGGAACCAAAAAAACCTTCCACATCAGACAAATGTTTATCTGCACATCCACTAATGTGGTCTACTGCATCCAATGCTCCCAATGTGGCCTCCTCTACATCGGAGGCTCGGAAACTGCTTTGTAGAGCACCTGCGCTCTGTTCATGACAAACGACAATACCTTCCAGTCACGAACCACTTCAACTCCCCCTCCCCAGTCCCTGGACGGCATGCCCATCCTGGGCCTCCTCCAGTGTCACAATGAGGAGGAGCAGCACTTCATATTCCGTCTTAGGAGCCTACAACCCAATGATCTCAATGTGGACTTTACCAGTTTCAAAATCTCCTCACCACCAGCCTCATCCCATGTCCAACCCTCCCACTCATCCCCACCTCCTTGACCTGACACAACCTGTCCATCTTCTCTCCCCCATATCCGCTCCTCCCACCTTACTGACCAATCCCTACCACTGGCTACCTTCACTCACCTATCACCATCCCACCTACCTTTCCCAGTCCCACCCCTCCTCTCACTATTTATTTCAGAGCTCCCCTCACCCTCCCCCATTCCCCCGACTTGAAACGTCAGCTTTCCTGCTCCCCTGATGCTGCCTGGCCTGCTGTGTGCCTCCAGCTCCACACAGTGTTATCTCTGACTCCAGCATCGGCAGTTCTTACCGTCTCTGGATAGATATCTTTATTGTGGGATGAGATAAGAAGTAGGAATGAGCGAGGCCATAGCGGAGTTTGAAAATAAGGATGAGAATTTTAAAATGAAAATGTGTTGCTTAATCGGGAGCAGATGTAGTTTACCTAGAATAATAGCGAACAATTTGAATGACATCAGGTTGACGGAGGATATAATCTGAGAAAGGGAACAGGACTGCATTCAAATATATAAAAGGTGATAAGAATTTCATTGTCAGATGAATTGAGGTGAGGTTAAGTTGGGTGATATTATGGAAGTGGAAACATATGTCTTCACAGATGTGTCATTGGAAGTTCATTTCAGAATTAAATAGGATAGCACGATTGCGAACAGTCTGGTTCAGCCTCTTGCAGTTGCTAGAGAAGGGATAGAGTCTATAATTAGAGTTTTTAGACATATAAAAGATTAAGAGAGAGGCAAGACTGGACATTGGACTGCTGGAAAATGAGGCTTGAGAAGTAGGAATAAGAAACAGAAATGGCAGAGGAACTGAATAGTTACACAATTTGCATCAGTCTTCACAATAGAAGAAACCACCAGATACCAGGATTTCAGGAGAGTCGGGGCAGAGGTGAGTGCAGGGGTCATCAGTAACGAGAAGAATCACTGGACTTGAAACATTAACTCTGTTTTCTTCTCATGATACTGCCAGATCTGCTGAGTTTCTCCTGCAATTTGTTTTTGTTTCAGATCCCCAGTAAGTGCAGTTCTTTGCTTTATTAAGGAGCAAATACTGGAGAAGCTGAAAGGTCTGAATGGAGGATAAGTCACCCAAACCAGACGGACTATACTCCAGGGCTTGGACAGGCTAAGAGAGTGGGCAAAGAAGTGGCAGATGGAATACAATGAGGGAAAGTGAGATTATACACTTTGGTAGGAAGAAAATGTGTAGACTATTTTCTAAAACGGGGAAAGGCTTTGGAAATCTGAAACACAAAGGGACTTGGGAGTTCTGGTTCAGAATTCTCTTAAGGTTAATATGCAGATTCGGTTGGCAGTCAGGAAGGCAAATGCAATGTCACCATTCATTTCAAGATGGCTAGCATACAACAGCAGGGATGTACCACTGAGGCTGACAAAGTGCACTTGGAATACCATGAGCAGTTTTGGGCCCCCTATCTAAGGATGAATATGTTGGCCTTGGAGGGGTCCGGATGTGATTCACAAGGATTATCCTGCAGAGGAAGGGCTCGTCATATGAGCAAGTGGCTGAGGACATGGGGTCTGTACTTGATGGGAGTTTAGAAGGATGAAGGGGCATCTCATTAAAACTTAGAATACCAAGACATCTGGATAGAGTGGACATGGAGAAGATTGTTCCACTTGTCGGACAGACTAGGACCTGAGGGCACAGCCTCAGAATGAAGGGGCGATCCTTTAGAACTTAGAAGTGGAGGAATTTCTTCACCCAGAGGGTGGTTAATCTGTGAAACTCATTGTCACAGAATACTGTGAAGGCCAAGTCATTGAATGTTTTTAAGACAGAGGTAGATAGGTTCTTGATTCGCAAGGAAAAAAAGGTTTATGGGGAGAAGGCAGGACAATGGGGTTAAGAAATCTATCAGCCATGATCGAACGGCAAGTGGACTCGATTGGCTAAACAGCTTAAATCTGCTCCTATATCTTATGGTTAGGAAACACATTTTGTAGTTTGGAGCAAATATAGTGGCTTTGATCTTGATACAAAATTTCTCCTCGTCCAATATTTAATATCAGACTTCTGGTCTAATGTTACGTTATCAGGCTGAGTGTCAAATTAGGCAACACATATAATAGTTGATGTTATGACTTTCCCTTTTAAAACAAAACCTTAAGTAACTGTAACCTCACAGACAAAGGAAGCCTGATTCAAAATTTATAATTCGTACTGAAGTGAGGACTTAGATTTACAATTAAGCCAAACTGGGACAAGCAAATTATTTTCAGTGGCGCTTCGTGTCTGGTGGCCCTTCCGGACCCGAAACGTTAACTCTGTTTTTTGCTTCACAGATGCTGCCAGACCTGCTGAGCTTTTCCAGCAACTTTGTTTTTGTTCCTGCATCCGCAGTTCTTTTGGTCTTTAATTAATTTCAGTTTCAGTTTGTCTTCCAAATTTGCTGTAACATTACTATAGCAGTTTCAGTATCCATTTGAGAAATAGAAGAGTTATGTGCTTTGTGCCAGGGGAAATTGTTTCCACAGTGAATGATTCTTAGTGGAAAATAGGATGCCTTTATCTGAACATTTACCAACTTGACTGGAATTGTGATCTAGTTGCTCTTGCCCTGACTTACCCCTCCACAAAAGGAGATACAGTAGTAACTTCTGACCGGAAACTGGTTATACATTATACTTCAAAGGGTAAAACGTATAAGTGTACAGAACTAAAGCTTAAGAGATTGACAATGTATGCATTGGGGTTTTCCACTGTCAAGCAAAACACTTGAGGCAACATTTGACAGAACCAGAAATAACAAGTAACCTTGTATCATTCAGTTCAGGCAGATGCTATAAAGCAGTAATGGGTACTAACCTCCTATGGTTCTTGCCTTGCCAAGATAAAGTCATAGAGTCAGAGTCACACAGCATGGAAACAGACCCTTTGGTAGAACCCGTCCATGCCAACCAAGTTTCCCAAACTGAACTAATCCCATTTGCCTGTGTTTGGCCCATATGCCCCTAAACATTTCCTATTCATGAACCTGTCCAAATGTCTTTTGAATGCTCTCACTGTACCTGCATCTACCACTTCCTCTGGCAGTGCATTCCACATCTGAACCACCCACCGTGTGAAGAAGTTGCCCCTTAGGATCCTTTTAAATCTTTCTCCCCTCACCTTAAACCTTAAACCTATGTCTTCTGGTTTTGAACTCCCCTACCATAGGGCAAAGACCTTTACTGTTCACCGTATCTATACCCATAATGATGTTATAAACCTCCAAAAGGTCGCCGTTCAACATCTTACACTCTAGTGAAAAAGGTCCCAGCTTATCCAGCCTCTCCAGGATCCCAAATCCCATGTGCTTTAGTTGTACAAAATGATTGCTTGTGTGGGACGTTTTCGAAAGTCTTCTGAAAGTCCTAGTAAACCAGATCTCCTGGCTCTCCTTATCAACACCAGTAATTACATTGTCAAAAATTTCTAGTAGATTTGTCAAGCACAATTTCATTTTTGTAAATTCATGCTGACTCTGAACGATTCCTGTCAATGTTTTCCAAGTACCCTGCTATTAATTAGGAACTTCCCCACTTCTGATATTATGTTGGAGGGAAAGTTGATTAAGCTGAAGATGGCTAGGTCTTCAATGCTTTCCTGAGAAATCTATAATAATTGCCAAATTTTTTATCTACTTCGGAATTGGATTGTCTGTACCATTATAAAGCTCACATGAGCAAGTTGAATGACACCCACCTTTCAGTTACCTATGTTCTAACAGTATATCAATTCAATGAAAGCACTTTCTGAAGCAGCTCTCTGATGTCCCAGCTCATTGCCACCTGAGTTAGTTGATAATATTATTGCATTCTTGGGAGACTGAACCACCTATATTTGCAATAGTTACTGTAAACATAAGCTTAATGTCATTAAATTTGCCTGAATCTGTTCACCTCTGTGCAAATTTGGTGAAACTGTAGTATACAAAAATAAGGAATCTGTTTTTACCTGTGCAATTTCTGCTTTACCGAAGTTCTGTTGCTGTCTTCTTCTAACTTCTTCCTGAGTTAGTGTTCCTCCTGAAAATTTTATTCCATTTATATATTGTTAAAGTTAATCATTCCCAGAAAACCATTTGTTCTATTTTTGGTACAGCATCTCATCCTGAGGGACAAATAGAAACAGTTCATGTTTACCCTTTTCTCAATCACTTAAATCTGCTTAATCCACCCTATTTTAAGAAATTGTGAATAAATTATTTTGTTCCACTCATATTATAAAACCAGTGTATTTTAATAAGAATATGATAGGGTAGCGACTGACAATCAGGAACAGGAATTCAAATTCCACTGTGGCAGTTTGTAAAGTTGATATCAGTTTAACGAAACCTAAATCAAGCTGGAATAAAAAGTTGGTAACAGTAAAAGTGAGCCTTAAGTTGTCAGATTGTTATAAAAATCCAACTGAGTCAGGAATGTCATCCTTTCGCAGCCTGATCTTTTACTGGTGAATTTTTCCTTTGAAATGATGTAGGCAGTAATAAGAAAATTACCTCAAAAAAGACATCAGAACTGCAGTGATTCAAGAAATTAGTTCACCATGAATCCTTGTTCATGACACCCACATTCAAATTCTTTTCAAGATTAGTAGCCATAATTTCTTGCAAGGAAGAAAACTAATTTGAAAAAAATATAGTGCTGCAGTTAAAAATTCAGACACTTCAGGAATGTATTGTGGCCCTATTATTAAAATTAATCTGACAGTGATAATGTTTTACTCACCAACTGCTCTTGGAGTGATAGAAACGTGACCAATATTCTGACGTTTCAACTTTTCCAATGTAGCCAACTCTGCAGATGCTTCTAAATGGAAGTCAGTAAAACAAGTTAGATAGAAGTATAAATATGGGAGCTTTCATTCTGTAATGGTTAGATCTTATAGCATTGCTAGTCACTTTTAGTTCAATTCCTAATACATCCTGATGTTAAGTACTTCTACCTAACTTTTGAGTGCTCAACATGGTAAATTGAGGCCTCAAGTATCTATTAATGATAACTGTAGTGATTGGAATGAGGTCAGCCAGGTGGAACTCATATTCTGAGTTCCCTGATTGAGGCTGTTAACTTGGTCCAATCAGGGAGTCCTGGTTTACAGATTTATAAACAGGAGTGTCAGGGGTTCTGCTTGCTAAGAGCTGGCTCTGAGCTAGCTAGTCATTGTTATGTACTATGTATGTCTAAATAAAGGGTGACTTGGTGAGGGGATATCAGCATTCATGGAGTTATTTCAATAATCTAGTTTGCCAGCAAGTTGAGAAAGTTGCCCATGGACTTCTCACCTAGAATTTCATTGCAGAGGTGGGATTGAGTCTCTTGGGGCTCGCTGGGTCAGTGTTATGTAGTAGGCACGTGTAAATATATCTCTTTCTTGGCAACAAGAGAAAATCACATCCCTGAAGAGATTTACTCACAATAGTCATCTCTGAGTTGGGATAAGCATCATGCCACTATTTGGGAAACTTGACATGTTTGATCCAGCCGTTGAAGACTAGACCTAGTATGTGGAAAGAATGTGCTATCTTTCCCCCCTAGGCAAATGACATTGGGCCTGATGAAAAGCAACGAGTAATTCTCCCGACAGCTTGTGGACCCACAGCTTTTTCAGTTATTTGGAGCCTAACTTTCCTGGACGTACCAGATACTAAAACCTTTCAAGAGTTGACAGATTTTGCGAAGGAATATTATGACCCCAAACCTGCTCTAATTCTGAGACACTATCGGTTTAACCCAACAGTTTGAGAACCAGAGGAATCTGTATCAGGATTTTTAAACGAGGTTACAATAGCTGGCAGAGGCATATGATTTTGGTTTAACCACAACTAAGATGTGGGATTAATGATGTGACCATGCAAAAGTGCCTGCTAGCTGAAGCTCAACTGGACTTCGAACAGGCACAATAACTGGCTTTGTCATTAGAAAATGCTGCAAGTGGAGCTTACGAGTTACATGGTATTTCAATGAAAGTGGACATGCTTGCCAGGCTGACTGAGCTTGGCTGAAGGCATCACTTGACTGAAAGCAATTGCATAGCCTCACTTACGACAGACTTTGAACAGAGAGTCTCTAGGTCAGCCCACAGCAAAGCCCCAAAACAAAACCAAGCCTTGGCCACACAGTAAAAATTTTCTCAAAGATCTGGGCTGGCAAGCCATTGTGGTTGCTGTCGACATGTGGACTCGAGACAACAAAAGAGTCCCACTATGCCTAAATTGAGTAACAGAACTCATAGGCTGGTATCCAAGAGCGTGCACACCCTCGAAGGTCCACCTACAGTTAGTCTGAAACAGTTAAATTGCTAAGCAACATCCAAATTAGAACAATCAACATAAATGTCTCGTTAAATGATCACCCAATTCTAATGGGAGTCGATACTAGCGTGGCTGTATCAGTGACTGCAGAACCAGCCTTTACCAAACTTCACTGAGGACTCCAAACCTTAAGCTTGCGCAAGGCCTCGGCCACACTGAGAATCTGCACTGGGGAACCCCTACAGCTTAAGGGTCCAACTCCGGTTCTGGTCTGTGATGAGAAGCACCTGGTTCAGTTACCACCGATTGTAGTAAAAGGCTCAGGCCCAAGCCTGAGCGTGTGCGAAATTAGTTGAGAAAGATTCAGATTGATTGGATCGACATGTTTCGATTAGAAAATGGCTATCCGAGTGAAGTCCTAATTAAATATCTGGATGTTTTTCAGGGAGGTTCACCTTACATGTTGACCAAGAAGTAACTCCACAATTCTGCAAGGCCTGCTCAGTGCCATTTACCTTATGTGTAAAAATAGGGGCAGAAATCAGAAAGCTGGAAAGTGAAGGAACCATGAAACCAGCATTGTTTGTGGAATGGAAAGGACCTGTCATATCGATTATGCAGCCCAATGGGTCAGTTTGCCTTTGCGGGAATTTCAGTCAAACAAACAAACAAAGGACTTATAATGCAAACTGGTGGGGGCTGTCCTTCATGAAGGTGGATGAGCCATGCACACCTGCAATTACGAATGGATGAGGATTCCTGGAAGTATGCTACAGTTAACATCCATAAGAATTTATACCAGTATATGAGACTGCCTTTTTTGGGTATCATCATCCTGTGCCATTTTCCAGTGGAAATGGAGAACATTTATTAAAGTCAACCCCAGATTCCTATTTATCTGGGTGACATGCTAATAACGAGAAAGACCAATAAAGAGTATTTACAGAACTTAGACATAGTGCTTAACCAAGGCAGGAGTGTGACTTACAAGGGAAACACGTGTGTTCCAGGAACGTCAAGTGACCTACTTGGGCTACAGAGTTGACAAGACCAGGTTACACCCGTTGGAAGATAAAGTTGGGGTGATCAAAGGTGACCCCATCTCCCACGACTTTACTGTAGCTTACGACTTCCTTGAGTTGGTGAATTATTACAGAAAATTCATTGATAACCTGGCCTCCATTCTGGCATCCTTATTTGCTACTGAAAAAGGGGCTGCATTGGAAATAGTCACATAGCCAGGATGTAGTCTTTAGGGAAGTGAAGAAGCAGCTATCATTGTCTATGGTGTTGGCACACTACGATTCCAAGTGAGATAACATGTGATACCTCCCTGTACTATAATGGGGTGGTGTTGGCTTACCGGTGGCCCAGTGAAGAGGAATGGCTGGTAGAATGCACTTCCCAGACTTTGACTGATGCTGAATGAAGATACACCCAGATAGATAAGGAAGGTTTGGCAGTTATCTTTGGTGTGAGAAAGCTCCACCAATACCTTTACGGAAATAAATTTGTAACAGTAACAAACCAGAATCCCCTGCTAGGGCTACTTAAAGAGGACAGGGCTGTGCTGCTTCAGGTTGAATTCAGCAGTGGGCTTTTATTCTGAGTGCATGCATGACAAATTGGAACACTGTCCAAGAGGCCAAGTGGCAAATACGGATGCCTTGAACTGCCTCCCACTGGCAGATACACCACTAGAAGAGTCTGTTCTGGTTTTAAACTTTCTGGACACCATTCTGGTCACTGCTGACAATATCCGACAGTGGACACAAAAAGATCCCGACCTGGCAAAACTAAAACAGCTACTTGTGATGGGGGAAACAAAAGGGCCATGACAACCAGAATTGTAACCTTTCTGGACCTGGCAAGACCAGATCACCATACAGCATGGTATATTCCTCTGGGGAGCAAGAGTGATTGTCCCGAGCAAAAGTCACCACCAGATACTGGCTGAACTCCACCAGGGTCATCCAGGAGTTTCCAAAATGACGATGTTGGCGAGAGTTATGTCTGGTGGCCAGGATTGGATGTCGACACAGATGCGTTGGTGGGGCAATGCCCAAAGGGTCATCAAGGACACAGCTGCCTCACATTTATGGGAATGGCCAGGTAAATCCTGGACTCGGTTGCACGACGACTATGCTGGTCCTTTCATGGATTCCATGTTTTTAGTCATTGTGGATGCCCACTCAAAGTGGCTGGACATGCCTAGAGTTCATTCGTCAAATACTACGATGATGACTGAAAAGTTGCAAGCATATTTTGCGATACATGGACTCCCGGAGGTATTGGACACAAACACAGGGCATCGTTTACCAGCAGTGAATTTGAGTATTTCCTAAAGTTGAATGACTTTCGGCATTGCAGATGACACCAAAATTGGAGGTGTAGTGGACAGCGAAGAAGGTTACCTCAGAATGCAATGGCACCTTGATCAGATAGACCATTGGGCCGAGGAGCAGCAGATGGAGTTTAATCTAGATAAGTGTGAGATGCTGCTTTTTGGAAAGGCAAATCAGGGCAGGACTTATACATTTAATGGTAAGGTCCTGGGGAGTGTTGACGAACAAAGAGACCTTGGAATGCAGATTCATAGTTTCTTCAAAGAGGAGTCCCAGGGAGACAGGATAGCGAAGAAGGCATTTGGTATGCGTGCCTTTATTGGTCAGTGCATTGAATATAGGAATTGCGAGGTCACGTTGCAGCTATTCAGGACATTTGTTAGGTCATTTTTGGAATACTGCGTGCAATTCTGGCCTCCCTGCTGTATGAAGGATGTTGTGAAACTTGAAAGGGTTTAGAAAAGATTTATGTGGATGTTGCCGGAGTTGGAGGGTTTGAGTTATGGGGACAGGTTGAATAGGTTGAGGCTATTTTCCCTGGAGTGTCAGAGGCTGAGGGGCAAACTTATGGAAGTTTATAAAATCATGAGGGGCATGGATAGGGTAAATAGCCAAAGTCTTTTCCCCAGGGTGGAGGGAGTCCAAAACTAGAAGGCATAAGTTTAAGGTGAGAGTGCAAAGATTTAAAAGGGACTTAAGGGGCAACTTTTCACACAGAGGGTGCTGTGGGTATGGAATGAGCTGCCAGAGAAAGAGGTGGAATATAGTACAATTACAACATCTAAAAGGCATCTAGATGGGTATATGAATAGGAAAGGTTCAGAGGGATATGAGCCAAATGCTGGCACATGGGACTAGATTAATTTAGGATATCTAGTCGACATGGTCAAGTTGGACTGAAGGGTCTGTTTCCATGCTGTACAGCTCTATGACTATGTGAAGACAGCTCTATACCATCCATTGTCCAACGCTCTGGTGGAAAGAGCAGTCCAAACTTTGAAGCCAGGCTTAAAGAAGCAGCCTACAGCATCACTCGATATCAAACTGTCCCAGTTCCTGTTTGATTATAGGACCACCCCTCACTCACTCAACTACATGGACATCTTCAGCAGAGTTGCCAATGGGGAGAAGACGCCGCGCCAGGTTAAGTCAGATCTTCCCAGGCCTGGGGGTGGGGGATAGGTGGGAGGGTGAAACGGCCTCAGGAATG